GCTGGAAGGTGTGCTAGAAGCAATGAATATAGATCAGGCCCCTGGCTTTGCGTCTTGATGTGCCTCTTCTCCTAATCAGGCTGTATCATTTCGGGCAAGTTGTGAAACCTTTCTCAGTCTACCTTGGTGGGTGGGATGGTGCGGTGAGCTGTGAATCTTGACAAAAACAGGTGTGAAAGGCTTTGCAGACTTAATTTCAGAGACTTTTAATCTAAGGACTAGGGATAGGCTTTTAGAGGTCTCAAAGTCCTGGAATTTTATGCTGCATAAGTACATATACATAGAGAAAGGACCAGAAGGAAAATCCTAAACTGTGCAGAAAGCTAACTTCTTGCAAGAGGAGTAGGCCTCAGGAGCAAAGGGTAGGCCCCTGTCTACTCCATATAGGTCAGTAGTGCTCTACTTTATTATTCTGAGAATGCATTTATGTCTTATCTGTTGCAAAAGAAAGGACCTTTTCCTTTTTTTAAATGCCTGCAGAGTTGCTCATGTCTATGTGCATGAGCGTTTTTCCTGGAAGTGGCTCATGCTTTGGCCAGGGGAATAAAGTGGCTAGAGATCTCCATGGGTTAGTGAGGGGCTGTAATTCCACAAATGAGGGCTGTTAGGCTTGACTGGACACCCACAGGCGTCCCTCCCTCCCTGAGCTGCTTCTGTGGACTGTTCTGCCTCAGCTCTGCCTTTGGGCAGAGCTGACCTGGGCCATACCCCCGTTACACCCCTGTTCTGTTACTGTCCCCAGAGCCTGCACTCTCCTTTGTGGTTCCCCTGCATCCTGCCCATACCTTTGAAACAGTCCCTTTATTAAACTCTCCTCAAATTACCCAATTTGAGTGGGCCATCTGTTTCCTGCTGAGACCTGACAGATACAGTATTATTAATCTGTCATTGTACCATCAGTGCCTATGCACACACACACTCACATATTGATAAACTCTCACTCAGCCTCACACACTCGCCCACCAACACACACCCCCACTCCCTCACAAACTCCCACGAGCATACACGCTCATATGACACTATATATTGTCCCAGCACTTTGGGGAAGAGAGGGCTGCTCTGTTTAAAATCTTCTCTAGTGAATGGAGGGTCAACCTGGGCTGCAGGAACCTGGCCCACCGTTATGAGCCCCTTGTCTACTCTGCAGGGTGCCACCTCCTACCTCTGGGGATGTCTTTTAACCGCATACCACTGAATTAGCAATTCTCATCAGTTCTAATTTTTAGAAATTATACACTTTGTCCACTACAAATCCGGATGACCCCACTGCACTCTCAATGTGCTTGGAAAGAGGCTTCATAAAGAGTAAGTTCAAGTGCTTCCTGGAATCTTTACCCTTGCAGAATACACCTAGGAATAAAAATAAAATCTCTCTATCAAATTCTAGGTAGAGAATGAGCAGAAACTTTAGGGGAAATCACAAATAAAGGTTAATTTAGATGAAGAGGACCAAGTACTTTGGGTAGGAATTGAAGGGAGATACATCTTGGCTCAATCTGAGGTTACCTTGCCAGTAACTGAATCCATCCAATGATGAACAGGTCACCTTAGGAAGAGCCTCTTATCTGGGGCTGTGCCACAGAGAGACTGATGTAGGACTTGGGATCCAGTGACCTCCAAGGTTATGCTAACATGCCCCTGGGACATTAGCCAAGTCACTTCCTCTTTTGGAATTTCCACTTCCTCCTCTGTACAGTGAGGGATTCTGTCTAGGCCTCTCCAAGGGTTCTTTAACGCCTAAAATTCTCAAAATCTCTGATTCTGCAGGCAAAGAACTGTGAAAAGTAGGGGAGGGGGTAGCATTTGGAAAGGAGCTGCAGAAGTAATTAGTGATGGAAATGTGAATCTCTAGCTGCCTCTGGATATCTGAATTTGCAGATTAAAACAAGACTGAATCTTGGCTGAACAATTCCCTTCTCTCCAGAGCAAATGGCAATAGTAGGACGTTGAAAAATCTGGCCTCTATTGGAGGAAGAGGCAAATGAATTTGTTTGGGAGACAAAAGGGCAGACTATAAATTATGTCTCCAGCATCTGCTAATCCTTGAACCTCTCTGGAACTCAGATTCTTTGTTTTTAAGTGGGGCTGAAAGTACCAAGTATCTAGGCATAGTCTTCTGAGGATCACCAAGTGCAAAGTCCCTCGTCTTCCTGATTGGGGTGGAGATCGTCTAAGAAAATGTATTGGTATCCAGGCTCCTGGGACCACTGGATCTGTGGTCCTGAGAAATGAATTTAACTCTGCGATCCTCCATTTCCTCATTTGGGGATTGTACCTATCTTGAGGGTGGGTGAGGAACAATTAGCCAAAGTGGACAGAATGCTTTACACAGTGAGATTCTCAAGAGCAGCATAAAATGACCACATCATAGAAAACACACTGTGTGCCCAATGTGGCCTTGGGTCCCCTTTCTTCTTATCTGAGCACTCAGAAAGGTGACCTTGTGCCTCTCTCACATAGGTGCTTAACTTAGCTTGGATGCCAATATGGTGCCTGTAGGCTGACGGCAGTCTGAGGGTGCTGGGTGGGCACCCAGATGTAGGGCTGTGAGAGATCCTGGGGAGAGCCCTCTGCTCGTTATGGATGGCAAATATTCCTCCATGTCAGTATTATTCCTTGGGCCCTCTGGAAATTCTTTCTCTCTCTCTCTCTCACTGGGGATTGAACCCAGGGGTGCTTAACCACTGAGCAACATCCTCAGCCCTTTTCATATTTTCTTTTTTTTATTATTATTTTTTGGTTGTAACTGGACAAAATACCTTTATTTTATTTATTTATTTTTTTTGTGTGTGTGGTGCTGAGGATTGAACCCAGGGCCTCCCACGTGCTAGGCGAGTGCTCTATCATTGAGCCACAATCCCAGCCCCTTCATATTTTCTTTAGAGACAGGATCTCAATAAGTTGCTTAGGGCCTCGCTAAGTTGCTGAGGCTGGTTCCAAATAACTCATTTGGCAAGGAACACTTATGAAGATAGAGCTATCATGAAAGCCCCAACAACTGGTATCATACAGTTTTAGAACAATGTCTTTCATTTAAAGAAGAATGGGTCTGAAGTTCTTATCCCCAATTTATTGTGCTGTGGCTATCTGCCCCAGTAAGCATAACAGGGCATGAGATAGACCTAGGCCTAAATAAGGTCTAAGCTACTTAGGGCCTCGATAAGTTGCTGAGGATGGCTTTGAACTCATTATCCTCCTATCTCAGCCTCCTGAGCCTCTGGAATTAGAGGCAAGCACCTCTGCACCCAGCTTGGAAACTCTTTTCAACTACAAAGGTACAGATGAGTGCTTTGCCCCTTCTTCTATGGCCTGGAGGCTTTGATGAAGGAGTCAGTTTCCTGGAGGCCCATACCTCTCAGATGTGTTTCCTTAGGTTCCGGAAATTACACTGGTGAGATCCTTAGAGATCTATCATCTTGTGTCCCCAAATACAATCCAAGCTTATTTAGGCCTGTTGTGACTACTTGGGTGGATAGCCACAGCACGATAAATTAGAGATAAGAACGTCAAACCCATTCTTCTTTAAATGAAAGACATTGTTCTAAAACTGTATTATACCAGTTGTTGGGGTCTTCATGATAGTTTTACTCTTCATAAGCATTTCTTGCCAAATGAGTTATTTGGAGGACTGAAGAATCCCCAATGGCCAGAGGGAAGTTATGAGGATGAAAACTTGCATTTTAGATTATGAGAATTTTATTAATGTGTTACTATTTTAAGCCACCATACAAATATCCTTTGTATTGATTTCACTGTGATGTACTGACTGAATAAATATGCCAATTTCTGCCAGGGAGCCAAACAGTATTTTTAAACTACTTTAAAATATGTGTTGTTTCCTATGGTTTTTTAAACTCTGGAGTTGATTATGAAAGCAATTTCAATTTTTAAAAATTCTTCTTTCCAGAGAACATACATATATATTTGAAACTATTAAATATAAAGCTTAATGGGATAGGTAATTATTTTTTAAAGTTACAAATTAAGTGAAAAAAAGTGATGTGATTCTTTTAGCTTACGTATGCCATTATAACAGAGAGTATATACTACAACAAAGGAAATTTGAAGAACAATTCTTTGAATATATAACAAATGTATCATATGTAGATCATCCCTGTCACTGCCTATTGAGTAATTTTGGCCTCTTTAGTGTACAACACTGTGTACTTAATCAGGACCCTGGCAGAAACTGAGATCTTCAGATTTTAAAGGTAAATCAAAACCAGGAGCTAAAGCTTTTCAAGTATTGGCTGGTAGGATTCTCAGGATAATAATGATGCTATCATCAATTTGCAGAAGGGGAAATTAGGAGGTGAGGAGGCCGAGGGTTTTTCCAAGGCCCTTCAAGTATTCCAGATAGTGTATCCTATGGTTCCTCTTTCCCTCTATTCCAAATGGAAAAAACCCCAAAAGATCCCTTAAGTCTCAAGGCTATTGAGAATACATATTAGATGATATTAAGAGACTGGTTTAAGTTCTTTGGAAAGGCACTGAGGAAGAACTAATAATCATTATACTTGTTATTTGTGACTCATGAAATTTCCTGGTTTGGAAATTTGCAGAATTTGCAAAATGCAAAACTACCATCTTGTAAAACGAACAGTTATTGCCCTTGCTTTGGTCAGTGAGAGACCTTAGAAAGTCCAGGCATAGGACAGGGAATGGGGCTGTCCGGGCATTACCTCTACATGTTAGTGCTAAGAATAGACCAGGAATCACAGCAGCCAGCATTTCAGCAGGATTTGGCCATCGGGCTTCACTATGGCCTGAGCAGGAGCACTGGGCTCAGTCCCTTCCTGTAATGGAGCTGTCACCTCACAGCACAGACCATGCAGCACTGCGGCTGCCTGTTACAGAGTCCTTCCCTAGTTTGAGCCAAAGCCTTATGGGAGCAGGGAGGGGGCCAAGGATCTTTCCTTCCCAGTGTGCCTTGCTGCCTGAGGTGAAGTTCTCTGGAGCTGACTCCCCTTCCCCCTTGTCCCAGGAGAGCCGGGATTTACCTGAAGTTGTACCCCGGGGAGATGCTGCTTTTCTCAGAAACGCTGTCCAGCCGAGTGAAGGAGTATTTGGGGATGCACTGGTCCCAGCTCTTGTCCAAATCGCACACCCAGCCAATCTTTATGCCCAGAACTCCACCCTGAAGAAAGGGGCCAGACATGAGCATTCCCCTGAGCTCAGCCAGGGTGGGACAGGGGCTTGTGACAAGTGACTTCTTTTTATTCTGTAGGTGGAAGGTGGAGGCAGGCAGAAAAGAAAGTGACTGGTCACAGTAAAGAAGTGCTGTAGCCAGGGGTAGAACCCTGGAGCCTCAGGGTCCTTCCTACTTTTGGAACCTTCAGTTCCTTGTCTCCAATATAGAGAAAGTGGCCGTGGGTCCACTGTCCCCTCGTGTGGCCCTTTTCAGAGTTCTATCGCTTCTCCCTAAAGGGATGTATAAATACAGGAATGGGAAACTGAGGATTGGGGGAAATGGGTCACTGGAGGGGAGACCACTCAGGGTAGGGGTAGGATGGGGGCTGAAAGGGTTCAGGGACAAAGCCAATTGCAGGCCTGGGATACTTCCACCAGGTGGCGCTGTCTTGCTGCAGCTCTTTCCTGGTCTCCTGGCTGCCTCCAAAGAGCTCTGGAGTCTGGGGAAAGGCTGAGTTCCCCTGGTAGAGGTTACAGAAGAAGAAGTAGGTTCTCACCGTGCGGGCCAGCTTGGCAAAATCCTGCCCTGCAAACTTGACCACATCCCCCACCCGCAAGATGGGGCAGAAAGGAGCCTTTTCAGGATGGAAACGGCAGGTCTTCATGTCCCTGGCTGTCAGGTTGGGCAGGAGGTTCCCCCTAGGGAGAAGAGGAGAGAGGCAAGGCCAGGGTTAAAATGGCCCCACACAAACTGCATTCCAGCCTTCGGGGGCTCAGGGCTCTCCACACCCAGGCAGGGGCGTCCATGTCCTAAGCTTTTGGGTATTCACTGTCTCTCTTCCCTCTTGCTCTGCATCTTTTTCTAACCCCAAACACTCTCCATCCATAGTAGGGTTATGTGTGTCCGTGCCCAATGTCCCCCAGCTGCCAGGCTGGGCATCTTGGAGGGCGAGAGTCACTCCTGACACTCTGCACCTCTGCAGGCCTGCCATTGTACTTTGCACAGGGCAGATGCCCACCATTCATGCCCTCACGAATGACTGAGTTACACAAGGGGCTGAACTGACTAAGAAAAGGGATACCACATGGGGGCTTGATGTAGGAAAAGATAAACGGACAAGCTCCTTGGTTTCCAATCTCAGGAGGCATCTGTGCTCAGGGCCAAGTTTAAATGGCCCCTCCCTGGTTCAAACAAAACTCCCAGGTCGGTCTGAGCACAAGGCAGGGAGGCTGGCAGGGAAGTTAGCCTCCAAATCCACTCAATAGTCAGAGGCCAAGGCCGCTGGAAGGCTGGGATTAGGAGTCCTGGAGATGGGGTTTGGGAAGTGAGAGAACCATGGTGCATGGGGCACCTCATTCTCTGGCAGGTGAGGTGGCCCGGTGATTGGGGGAGGAAGTGAGGACTCACTTCTCAAAGTTGAAGAGGGGGAAACGGATGCTGTTCTTGATGAAAATGGTGAAGTTCTCCGCTTCCATCATGATAGGCCTGTGGGTGAGGATGGAAGCCTTAGCCCTCAGGAAGAGCCTCTTTCCCTGGTGGATGCCTCCCAAGGGAGACCTCTTATAGATGAAGGGGAGTGATGGGAAGGCCTCTCTGGGTCTCCAGAGTCAAAGGGAGAGAAGGGGCAGGCGGGATGATACCCAGAGGCCACCACCACCCCCATGAAGAGACACTACATTGAGACCCTCCATAAGCTCAGAGATGCAGAGCTCCCCACGTTGGCAAAGAGGAACTAGGTGGGGTCCTCTCTCCTCCCGTCTGGCGCAGGACCTCACATTTCCACGGTGTCCACCTCTGTGGGGCACCAGCCCTGGATCTCACAGGTCCGGAGCTCAGAGCTGTAGTTTACGCAGCGGCCAGTGAGGATCCCTGCGAGGGAGGAGCCACTGAGGCTGGTTGGCCACCTGCTCTTTTCCAGTCCCTTCCCCCTCCTCATCAGAGACCACCCCTGCCCCAGGGACCCTGCCAAGGAACGGACCCTCTATTTCTTGTTGTGTGCTTGCACAGTACAGCTCTCTCCCTGTTCTCCTGAGCTGCAGACCAGACCAAGGAGAGTCCACACCCTCCTCTGACAGCTCCTTAAGCCCCAGCACCCGGAGCCCCTATCTTTCTAGCTCTTTCTTCCTCACCTCTGAGCTGGAGCTGCTCCTTTGGCCTGAAGCCATCTCTGTCCTGCCAAATCCTACTTGTCTTCAGGCCCATTCCAAATGCCACTGCCTCCAGGAAGCCTCAGGGCCACTCTCTCAGAACCAGTCTCTCTCCCTTTCCTGTGCTCTCCCTTCCCTGGACAGCACATGCCACTTAGCTGTGCCCCTGCCTGACTCTGCGTCCCTAGACTTCACACTCCTCTTGGGGGCACCTTCATAGGTCCCTCTGGGTCTGGCACCCAGGGAGCCTCCACAAATGCTGAATTGATAGGCGGGTTCTCTGCCTGCTCCTAGGGTGGCTCCCAGGGATCTGCTGCCCCCAAGGACAGCTTGGGAATGGGAGGGGTGAGGAAGGGGCTGACTCACCCCCACCCGGGAAACGCTCAGGTCCACACTGGCTGTCAGACACACAGCGGTACTTCTCCTCGTTCTGGGGGGAGATGGGACCGCAGGAGTGTGAGGGACCCTCCCTGGCCCTGGTGAGCCCCTGGGCTCCCACTGCCTCCCAAAGTGGCGGCTTCTGGAGGGAGGAGGTGCCAGTCACAGCTAGGAGGCTCGCACCCAGGCCCTCCCTACCGACGACCTCTCCCTACAGCATTGTTTTCTTTGACCCCCTTCTTCCAACCTCCTCTGTCCCCTCACCTCTGGGCAGAATCCTTGCATCTGGTTTTCAGTAACGATCATCTTGGTGATGATGACAAAGACGGAGGTGCCCTTGGGAGAAGCAGGGAGAGAAAATCCTGCAACAGTCCCCATCTTGAGACAGGGACTGCTATTGTCCCCACTCTACAGAGGGGGAAACTGAGACTCTGGGATTTGACCAAGGTGGCAGGGCTAACAAAGGGCAGAGCTAGGATCCGAACGGCTCTTTCTGACCCCCCATGTGGGTGCTGTGTTTTGATTGCAGCAGGAGTCAAGGTGGAGCCTGGAGAGGAACCCAGCTTTCGGACGCCCAGAACTGCACTCTGGAGGTCAGACCCAAGCTGCCCCACAAATCCCAGCAACCAGGGGGCCAGGCCCTCTACGGGTTACTGACACCACTGATTCGGGTTTGGGAGTCCCAGGGGCACTTTTCTTGTCCAGCCCCCTCCTCCCCACCCTCCCCAGATGTGAGCATCTACAGGCCCCAGGGTAGGGAAACCATACCTGGGGTGGGGTCACATAATCAGACACGTCCATGACTCTGTTGGCATAGCGTCCGAAACCCTTCACCTTGGTTACCACCGAGGACTCAATGGCTGTGTCCCGCACTTGGTATGCCTTCTCGTGCAAGAAAACCCATCTGGGGCAGGAGAGCAGAGATGCAGAGAGACAGACAAGGGTCCATAGGCCTAGCAGAAGATGCTGGGAGAGGGCTTCTTTTGGCCAGCATTATGGCAGCACAGGGACAAGGCCTTACTGGAGATGTGGGACCCTAGTGAGTCCCTGGTGGACTTAAAGTAGTGTTTCCCTACCTTCCCCCACCAAGGAGCTTTTTTTGAATTTTAAAAAAATAATTGCTCCCTGCTTCAATATCACAGATACCTGTTTATGTACCACGTGCATATTTGTGCTTTATACATCAAAGAGTGAGTTTTTTTTTTTTACCCCTAAGAACAAATGTTTACCCCCTTGAGAGCTGTTGCCCTGTTAAAAATTTGGCTTACAGTCATTCCTGCTGATAATAGAGTCCTTTCTCTGGCAGGCTTCCAGGAGAGAAGGGGCAGAGGGCAGAGCATGTGCATTCCCAGCTCTGTGCATGGCTGTATCCTAAACACCTGGCACATAGTAGATGTTCAGGAAAAAAATCGACCAAAGGCCCCTGGGAACTCAGTGCTTGGCAGCCTTCCTCCCTCCAAGTGTCAGGTGAGGATGGAGGAGGACAGAGGGGCAGTGGTTGCTTCTTTACCTGGCAGGTGAATGGAATGGGGTTGGGGGTGGGGCAGGGGATTAAACTTATTCCTTGAATTGTGCTGCCACCAAGTGGTCATTTACCTGTAGTGGCTTCTCCCTGCTGCTTAAAGCCGTGGAGCGACCCAGGGGTTGTAGTTGGGCTCCCTTCCCTTCTCCCATCACCACTCTCCCGGATTTAGCCTGCAGCAAGCAGGGCCTGCAGACATACCCGACAACTCTCTCCTCCGCATTTCACACGCAGTCACCATCGCAGCCCTCAGAACTCAAGCTACTCTCAGCCTGGTTCAGTGCCCCCTCCAGCCAGGGACATGCTCTGTTTGTTTCTGATGGCACAATGGCAAGCAAATGCTGTTACTGTCCCCATTCTATGTATGAGAAAACCTATCACATAAGTTTGAAAAATGCTGTGCATTCAACAGACAAATGCATCTGCTAAAATTTAATTTTTAATTGCATTTTTAAATATTTATTTATTTATTTTTGCAGTGCTGGGGATGGAATTCAGGGCCTCATACCTGATAGGCAAGTGCTCTACCCACCACTACAACCCCTGCCCCTCCCAATCTTATTTAAGCACAGATGCTGGTTTTGAAGAAATACTGACATCTTCTGGAAGGTATTTTTGGAAATTCTGGGTTAGGGTCATTTTCTGTATCTCACCGGGGTAGAAAAGCAGCATCAGATGAGTGGCAGGAGACTGAGACAAAACTGTGGGAGTCCTAGGCTGGGCGGCTGCAGAGGCAGTCCTGGGGCTGAGCTGACCTGAGGTGTTTATTAGGGGGTGGTGAGGATCCCAAGCCCAGGAGCTGTCTAACTACCATTGAGTCGCCATGGATGGGCTGCTGTGGGAGGTGGTGGTACTGAAGGGCTGGGAAGGCCAAAGAGATCTGGTTGATGACCTTCCAGGTGTGTTAAGGGGAGACCCCTTCCCCGGGTGGAGGTTGAGCTGGATGACTTTCAAGGTCCCCCCACTGTTGGAAGATGCAGAGGGGGCAGCTCCCAGAACATGCTGGGAGGGTCCCTATCACTTGTAAGATGGACACCATGGTCATGATCACTGCAAACACAGGCTGATGTTTGCAAGTGGCTCCTTGTTCGGTTTTCAGTGTGAAGATCTGGAGCTGATCTCTATATGGCGTTTCACTCACTTGGATTCTTTTTTTTTTTTTTTAATCAATAAGCAATGATTTACATATTTCAGAGTGCAATTAAAGTTCTGAAATATGTATACATTGTGAAATGGTTATATTGTTAGTTAACATATTAATCACCCTGCATATTTATCATTTTTCTGTAGTGTTACTTGAAGTCTGAATGGTTGAGTGGGAGAGAAAGGGTGGGGTCATGCACAGCGCTGGTAAATGGCTCCAAACCTGTTACCTGTTTTATTGTTGCTGCCTTAGAGCCAGCAGCATCCTGATTAATGCGCCATTAAGAGTTATTCACAAGCCTGTAAATGCTTTTACGAACACCAGGCCTCTGTGGAGCACTGTGCTACTGTGTGCCTTACCTCCCCAGCACTTTTTTGGGAAGGGGAGGAGTTTCATTAGGATCTCATTCATCATGTTATGTTCTAGCAGAAGAGAAGGGAGCATCCTGATATAGAAAAATGGAGTAGATATCCAGACAGCATGATTAGCTCCTGGTCCTGGGCCCTCCAGAATGGATGGAGTGAGGTCCGGGACCCTGGCTTTCTGCTCCCAGCTATGATGGCTGATGATGATGTTGAACACTCACCAGAGTGTTAGCCACAGTCCAAATACACCCTTCCTAAGCCTCAGTGTACCTGGCCACAGAATGGACACATTTCTCTGTGTTGATCTAATGTAATGGCTCCTGGAGACCCCTATTCCTGTCCTTAAAGTTTAGGAACATATGCAGATGAGAAGCAGAGTTCAGATCATTATCATATAGCCAACACGGGACACTAAGCTGACTCCTTTGATGAATCCTTGCCAGTGTTGCAGCTTTGATAATTACCTACATGTTACAAGTGAGGAAACTGAGGCACAGAGGAGTGTGCAGACTTGCCCAAGGTCACACAGCTGGTATGTGGGTCCCAAACCAGGCAATCTGCTTCAGACCACTCAGCCACCTCACCGTAGCATCTTCAGCTGTGCCCAGCTCAGGGCCAGCGCACAGTTGCCCTCCTGAACTGGACCCTGGTGCTTGTCCTGCTAACCCCTGCTCCATCACCAGGGGAAGCTTCTCCGAGCTCAGGAAAGTCTCAGTTGGAAGGCGCTCAGGACTCGGAGGAACAATTAACCAATCCCATTCTTCCCTCTCCTCCTCTAAGGCTCTTTCTTTCCCCAGTGGGGAGGAGAGGCCACATTAGACTTCTCTCTCTGAGTTAAATAACAAGTGGAAGAATTTCAGTAGCCCCATGGGGCTGAGAATGTCATCAGGGCAGCTTGGAAATGAGGGGCTGCTTCATTTCCAGAACAAAGGGGCTGAGACCGTCTCTAGAGGCTGGGGCTTAGGAGATGGGGCAGGACTGAGCCTTCAATTCTTGGCATTTTACTCTGCTGCTCTGACTTATTTTTTTCTTGAGTTCCTGGTTTATTATTTATAGAGCGGAAGGCGGGTGGCAGCTCCTTGGCAGGTGGGATGTGCAGGAAGGAGGCCAGAGCAGCATCCCAGCACCCTCCCGTCCACCCCCAGGGAGTCAAGGAGGAGGCCAGGGAGTGGGTGTGAAGAGCGTGTGTTGTGTGTTTTGGAGGAGAGGGGTCTCTTAGGAAGGTGTGAGCTGGGCAGAGGGAAAGGGGGAGGCGCAATGGGGAGTCTGTGGAATATTAATAGTCCCATCTATTACTGAGTATTACTGAGTCACCGTCTCAGGCAAGGTATTCGACGTGTGTCACCTCCCTGGTGACATAATTCCCTGGGAGGAGGTATTCCTAAACCCATTTTCCAGATCTGGGGATTGAGACTTAGGGGCCTAAAGGGATGCTTCCGAGGTCCCATTCCTAGTTGGCGTCAGAACTGGGCTTCTAACTGATGCTCTGTGTTCCACAGTATCATTATGGAGTTGCCGAGTAGAGAGGGCAGGCAGGAAGGAGAGTTGCACTTCTCTCTGGACCGCAGGATGGCGGGTCCAACAGGTCCGCCTACAGAATTTGCTGCCTGATGTGCTGACAAGGTGTTCAGAGTGCTACCTTCAGTCAAGAGGTACTCGGGGGGGGGGCAAGAAGGTGGCACTCAGGCTCTTCTCTTTAAACCTGACATCTCCATTCTTGTACTTGCTTTAGGTGCCGAATGGCTATATAAGATCTGAGATGAGGCTGGATATTCTGAACCCAAGTGGGTGGCTGTGCAGCTGGTGATTTGTGTGTACAGTGGAGAAACAGGGAGAGCAGGGCTGTGATGGGTCAGGGACTCTAACCCACCGCTGGTCCATCTGAGGGATGGAGGATTGAAGCACTGCAAAAGTCCCTCCCTGCAGGTCACCAGAAAGGGAGCTTCTTCAAAGTCAGGCCAGCACCAGCCAGCACTTCCTTGGGACTCAGGCCCCAAGGATTTCCTTCTATTTCCAGGATCCAGAAAGGGGACTGGCCCTTAGGAAGTCCCACCCCACAGAGGAGACTGGGGATTACCACCTGGGCCCAGAGAAGACAGGAGAAACGTGGGGTAAATTCTGGCCTCTTGTGGACGTGGGGTGGGTAAAGGAAACCAGTGATGACAGCAGCTGAGGCTGGAGGTGGGGGTGACAGCACGTGCCAAGAGAATAAGGGGGCGTGTTGCTGTGAATGCACAGAGGAGTAGCCGCCTCCTGCTGCACTCCACTAGGTAAGGCTGGGCATCCTGTCTACCCGGCTCAGAAAACAGGGAAAAAATATTCAAGTTTTAGTTACATGCTAAGAACACAGCATTGAACCCTTCAAATTCTATGAGGCTAGGCGCCCTCATCTCTCCATCAGACTGTATTCCCCACCTTCCTTTTTGTCCCCATCCACTCCTACTCCCCCAAGCTCTGGGTAGATTGGCCAAGGTGGTCTTCCCAGCTCGGATCTCATCAAGGCTGTCCTTCTCAGCCTCAGTCACTCACACACATGTTGAAATGCTCCAGTAGCTTTCTTCCTGTCTGTTACTTCTTGTAAAAAGGAGAGCTCTCTGAGAGTCTGATGTTCTCCTGAATCTTACATGACTCTGACCTCTGCTCCTTCAGCTCGGCCATGAACTTCTTTTCCTGCCCTCCTATGCAGAGGCGGGTTTTTTGCCTTGGACCCTCCTTCTTTCCTCCTTGAACCTGGTTGCTCCTTTCAGGGACATTCTTCAGATCTTGGTTTGGACATGGTGTTTCAAGAAAAACCTTTCCTTAGTTCCCTGAGGTCAAACACCTACATGGGAGTGGCTCTCCTGGCACTGTGCACTTTTCAGCCACAGATGAAATTCCACACTTGTTGGTGGCGAGGACTGGCTCAATGCCCACCTCTTGCCTTACACGATGAGCTTCAAGACCCTGTCTGCTTTCCTCTCCCCTGGCCCTGGGGATTGAACTCAGTGATGCTCCACCACTGAGCTACACCCTCAGTCATTTTTATTATCTTTTGAGATAGGATCTCCCTGAGTTGCCCAGGTTGGCCTTGGAATTGCAATCCTCCTGTCTTAGCCTCCTGGTTCGCTGGGATGACAGGTGTGCGCCACCATGCCTGGCTCCCCGTCTGCTTTTGTTCACAGTTCTATCCTCCATGCATACCAATGCCTGGCATGAAGAGACACTTGGTACATCTTTGCTAATTAACAACAATGGATTCCCAAGGTCACAATAGTGCATGGGTTCTCATACACAGAGATGGGCTCGGGCTAGGGGGCTGGGCCAAGGAACACGCAGCTGAGCAGCTGATGTAACACTGCCCCGTGGGGAGCTGTCAGGCTGGGAGATGGATGGGGCTGGGTATCAAGACGCCACAGAGCCTCTCCTGCTCCCTCCAGAAGGCTGGCCTCCGGCCCCCAGAACTGAAGGATCCCATCTGATCTGATCATAATGAGGAACAGACAAGGGCAGTGGGAGCTGAGTGGGCTGGTCCAGGAGACAGCTGTCTCGGTCCTCCATCAGTCTCCTGTCTGGAGCCAAGGGGGCCAGGCCAGGGTGCGAATGTGCTGAGACAGCATTTGCACTCACCTGGACCAACACACCATCTTGTGGCTGTAAACACGCATGGCACCAAATAGACACACTGACAGAGAAGGTTAAGAACCAACTTTGAGTCAAGCTCTGGAGATGCAGACATGGAACATTTGCGAACATCACCTCTCACAAAACCTCAGTGTTAAAAGGGAGATTGGAGGCCATTTAATCCTATCCCAGAGCTTGAATCCCTTCCTGATATCCCATAAGGAGCATGGATATACAGCCTTGTTATAACATCCACATACCAAAGCCACCCGGCTCTCGCCAAACATATGAAGCAAAGATTGCTTAAAAATCACATCTGCCCACCTTTCTACGTGCCTCCTCACACACCACTCCAACCCTTCAGGCAAGCAGGCCTGCTCACACACAGCTCCAGCCGGCATGGGCATGCACACAGGACGTCTTCTTTGAATTGCTTCAATTAATTCATGAACTCCGTTGCCAGTGGCTTGTCTCTCTCACACAGACCCATTGTCTCCAGGAACAGTGGGAGACCAGAGCACTCCAGGAAGGAAAACCATCAAGGTTTCTGTCTGCATTTCCTGGTGCCCACCAGTGTGTGGAAATGACCACAAGAACAGAACGTGCATTTTCCCCATTGTCTGCCCCATGGTCCTTTGTGTCTGTAGGTGTAGGGGTGTGTACCTCCAAGAGTGGGGGCCGAAAGGAGTGTTTGGACCTTGCAGGCTCCTGAGCAACTCTCAGGATGAGTTTTATGCCACAGAGTCAAGCAGAGGTTGGGAATTCACGTTTTTTGATAAAGGACAGCAATTCTGGATTCTCAGGGAGGCACCCCAGCCCATGTTCAGAAAAACTACTTTTCTTCTCACCAATGTCACTTTGACTGTTAATTTATTTGTGCCTGTGTCTCTCTCCATCTCATGGGGCAGTTCCCTCCTTTGTTTTGCCCTCCCAGAGCAAGGGCTTCTTGACTTTCCAAGATCTCTTTCCCTTCCACCTAAGCCAGAAGGGAACTCCTCATTCCAAAACAAATCCAGAGATCTCTTCCCTCCCCAGCCTACCCTCCCACCCAACATCAGCCTGATCAACTTGTCATCTTCTCTCTGGGTTCCGCACCTTCCCTTTCCTCTTTCTGAGCTTCCTTGCTTTATGGGACCCAAAAGAGTTGACTGAGGGAATGGGAAGATGTGGGGTGGGGTCTGCCTCTTTTCTGGTTGCGGGGAATAGGAGAGGGAGAGTGGAAATGGATCATCTGGGGACCTCTCCTGTTGGAGGGCAGTGCCGGGGTAAGGACCACATACCTTGGAGCGTGTGTTCAGAAACCACTCTCCAACTGTGGAGGATTTTTGGGGGGCAAAAGAATCTATCTGGGGACCAGATCCTGGGTGGTGGCAGCAGAGACCAGTCCTTGGAACAAGGCTCCCTGGAAGATGTATGTTTCCCCCAAGAGAAAAGAAGCCCCCAAGCAGCTTGACAGTAGCACTGAGGGAGGAGGGGAAGGGCAGGATAGCAAGTCGCCCTTCAGTCCTCGGATCTGAGGGACCACAGACTCACCCCACAAAGTAGGAGATGATCAGAAGCTGAACTGCCCTGTTGATAATCCCAATGGTCCAGCTCTTCACGACCACTGACTTGGTGGTCTCGTAGGTAAAGAAGTCTGATATGCAGTTCATGCTGAGAGTGCTTGGGGCCACTCTGAAGGGGCTTGATGGCAGCCTCAGGACAGCGAGGTTCTCAGGACAGGGAGACGGCGATCAAGGCCTGGAAGGGACAGCTTAGAGGGGCTGGAGGAAGAACCTGTTCCTGTAAGCCAGGCAACCCTAGCCCAATGCCCAGGCTCTCTCTCAGCTCTTGACACTCTGACTGCCAAGAGTCCAGGGCCAGGGTGGGGGACACCCTTTTTATTCATCTCCACCCCATTCCCCTATGATGTCACCACAGGGGTGGGGTCTTCAGTCCTGGGCTCCTGATTGCCTGGGAAGCAGCTGGCTAGGGCCCTCTGGGACTCATGTTTTATCTGCACTCTCTCTACCGTTTCTGCTTGGTTCTCAGATGCTGCATCCTCATCTAAGCTCACCAGCTGCTTTGTGCTCTCCCTAAAGCCCCCTGCAATGCCCCACCCCCCAGCCTGCCTGAGCTGAGTACCCCTTCACTCTGAATGTTCACCTAATTCCACCCAATTCTGCAGCCATTCCTTCCCTTTCTGAGTTGCCTCCAATAGCATGGGTCGGGGAAGGGGTCTCTTGAACATATTTCTGGGTCTCCCAGAACAGGGTGAGTGAAGAGTCAAGTCACATCTTTCTAATTGCATTGGCAGTGGCTGCAGCTCTGCCTGTGGCATAGCAGTTATCCTATTTTTTCTTTTTTCACTCTCAAGTTATCTGAATTATTTTTTCAATTATGTGCTTCTGGAAGGCTAGGACTATTTTCATTGTGTTCACCAGTTTCCTCAAAACCCTAGAAGTGCACTGGCCCTAAATATATATGTATTAAGTACAATTGGATTTATAATGCTAGGCAGTGTAGAGTGCTATTTAATCCAAGGCTGAAGCTGTGCATTCAGGGAGCAATGGGGTGTTCCTGTTGTCTCCTAGCCCCAGGATGGAGTTGGCAAGCTGGTGTAATGAGTATCAGGAAAACTTTGACTTTAAATATTCTTTCTTTCTACAGGACACATATTATCCATCACTCTGAGCATCCAGCCACTGTGACTGATGGAAGAGAACCAGACTGCTGTTAAGGGTATCTGGGTTCTAGTCTCCAACTTTGCTGCCAACTCATTGAGACCCTGAGCAATTTCTCTCTGGGTCTCAGTTTTCTCATCTACAAAAAAGAGGTAGAAAAAATAAAGTGTGTATGGGGGGGTGGTGGTGGTGGTACGAGTAGATAAACACCTCTTCTAGGCCTGGCCTTCTCTGATTTTGCAAGATGCACCCTGAGACTGTGTGAGGGGGGGGGCCAGGTTTCTGCCACCCCAGCTGATGTGGTTTCAAATCAGTCTGGCTCCAAGGTAAATCTGACACCAGCACTTGAACTTGATGCGGCACTTGCCAGTCTCTTCCAGGGAATCCATAAATTGTGATTATGGGTGGGAAGATGTTGAGTGTAGACAGGGAACACATTTTCAAAAAGGATCCAGTCCCACTTGACAGGGTACAGCTGAGAACAGTAGGCTGACTCACAGACCCCAACACCCGCATTCCCTTCGCACTTCGCAGCCAGTGGAAGCAGCCTTTCTCTCAACCCTGTATTTTCCTTCTGGCCCGACAGACTACTTTTTACAAGAGAGAAAACTATTTTGCAGGAGGGAGGGGCACAGCATCGTCCCAATACACACAACGACCCTGAAGCAAGTCCCATAAAATAAAACTACATAACTTCCCTTTAGAACCTAGTCTCCATGTGAAGAAGCGTCTCTAACTTTCTATAGAACTTTACACGCTCCCATATTCCGATCACTTTCCATCCGGGTGGGAACTGGAACAGCCACAATCCCCCTCCCTCAGGTCCTCCAGAGTCGTCGACGCTCTATGTGACGGTCTCCTCGTTGGACCCAATTCGAGTCTCTCCGGCCGGCTCATCCTCTCTATGGTCTGTACACAACTTCCGGTGGCGGGACGCGGGACCGCGCACGCGGGAAAAGCTTCCCCAGCGTACCCCCATCCCCCGTCCCCGCCCCCCCCCCCCGCCGCCCCCATCTAGCCCACCGCCCGCTCCTGGGCCGTCGCGAGGCTGCAGCTTGAAGAGGTGGGTGGTCGTTGTCTCCAGGCCCCAGAAGGGCGCGGGCCCCGCTCCCCCGCGGGACGCTCGAGATGGACCGTTCCGCGTTCAAATCCGCGGGCAGCGGGCGAATCCATTTTAGGGGGAGGGGAGAACCGTGGGTCTGGGGCCCCGGAGTGGTGGGAACGCTGGGAGGGAAATTCTGCATTCTGCGGGGAGTTGGGGGTCCAGGCTCCGAGCAGCCTCTGGGGTCCCTCTGCTCGTTGCCATGGCTCCCGGTGGGCTGCACCATTGGGTTTCTGGCTGGGATATAAGCGCCACTTCAGGCCGGGTTCTCCAGCCAGAGCTGGGCCTGGGCCCTGGAGTACTGTAGAACCCGCCTGTAGGTTCCCAGGCAGAAGAGATCCCAGACATCCCAAGCGGGCTGCCACCTGACTCCTTCTGTGAGCAGAATGAGGTGATGTCTTTCAAGCACCTGTCTTCCTCCTGAATTCAGATTTCCAGCCTGCTGTGCATCTGCATACCTACCCAGGAGTTGGGGCCCAGCTCCCAGTTGATTCGATTTCCCTGTGCAGCCTAGGGCTCTGTGCCCAGGCCATCAGAGGCAGATCAACATGGCAGAGACCCTGGAGTTCAACGACATCTACCAGGAGGTGAAAGGCTCCATGGTGAGAAGGGCTTGGGCTCTTAATACAGGTGGAGAGAGAGAGAAGGAGGGGAAAGTTTTTGCACATTAACAGAACTTAGCGTTGATGATGTTATTACTTTGGAAAAGGAAGACTCAGAATGTGTGTCTGGTATTTCCCCAGCAAAAGTCAATACTGAGAAAGACTCCCAAAAGTTATAGGCCCTTGGTATTTGAAGGGAAAGTGTATGCTGTTCAGTCCTAAATCCATATGTTGCAAACTGAGAACCTACAAGGATTCTGGATGTCAGAGCCAGGTTTAAAGTCCATACTTCCTGACCACTTGTCTCTTCTTAGTGTCCCTGGCTATTATAGCTATCCCCCGACATTCCCTCCATTGATAATCTGGTCAGTCCCCTGCAGCCTGAATGGGTGTAGGGTAGAACTAGGTACCCAATATATCCTGTGTGTACATCCTCCTGCATTTGGCCTATTCCTCTGATAGAATGATGGTCGGCTAAGGCTGAGCCGCCAGGGTATCATCTTCAAGAACAGCAAGACTGGCAAAGTGGACAACATCCAGGCTGGGGAGTTGACAGAGGGTATCTGGCGCCGCGTAGCTCTGGGACATGGACTGAAACTCCTCACAAAGAATGGCCATGTGTACAAGTATGATGGCTTCCGAGAATCGGTGAGAAGTCCTGATGCCTTTCACCCACAATTTTATTGTGCCATCTTGTTTATTTTTAAACCTTTAGAAAAAGTTGGTGTTTCTTCAGCTGATAACTATGTCACTGGCTGGTTTGGCCTCCATGGAGTAGGGCTGTGAAGCCTTCAAACAATCAGTGTTTTGCTTTGAGTACTGAAGGCCTGCAAGACTCTTTGTGCCTGGACTCTAGAATATTTTCTGCTATCTTAATTTAGATAATGGTTTCTGCTTGTTTTTATCCACGTTCAGAATCTTAGCTTGTTGCTCTTATTTGGTTTTGTTCCTTTTTGAACTGCTTTAGTTACAGACTTAAAGGTTTTTAACTTCCACTTTTATTAAAACAATACCTATACAATGTTTAAAAACTTAGCACTGTGAGACCCATATCCAGAAATGTCAGTTCCTTTACTCCTCCCCTGGCCTGAGGTCTACTTCCCAGGATCCATCTCTTCAAGTAATCTTTTCAATGATTTCAGAATTGAGACACTGAGTTAGCATGGATTTCTGATAAAGGATATATTGGGGCAGTTTTTCTGAAATAGATAATCCTGGGATGTTGAACTTGTGTTAAGGCCACCAGGGTTTACTAGGTTTGTGTTTTCTCCCCTCCAACCACAGGAGTTTGAGAAACTTTCTGATTTCTTCAAAACTCACTATCGCCTTGAACTAATGGAGAAGGATCTGTGTGTGAAGGGCTGGAATTGGGGGACAGTGAAGTTTGGTGGTGAGTCCTAAGGAAGACTGAGGTTTCGGGGAGAAGGCAGCATGAAGGGTTTCAGCTTTTCACTTATTTTGTTGTCTTTCTGCTACCACTATCTCTGATTTTCTATCACTTTGTGTCTTTATTATGTATTTATTGAGTCTGTGTTGTATAATCGAGCACTGTGCCTGGTCTTGCAGGTACAATATGAGCAAAATAGCCTGAGTATCCTGTCCTCATGAAACTTAGTTTGCTGGGAACATTATTTATGTATACTCAAGGGCAGTGGCTTGTGGCTTGATAAGCTTTTTCCTCACAGGGCAGCTACTTTCCTTTGACATTGGTGACCAGCCGGTCTTTGAGATACCCCTCAGCAATGTGTCCCAGTGTACTACAGGCAAGAATGAGGTGACACTGGAATTCCACCAGAATGATGATGCAGAGGTCTCTCTCATGGAGGTGCGCTTCTATGTCCCTCCCACTCAGGAAGATGGTGTGGACCCTGTTGAGGTGAGGCCTTCCTTGGTTGCCTTGGTGGCAGATGATGCTGAGGACTTGGCTGGCTGGCCTTGTAGCAGTGATCTACTGCCTGATTACTGGTATGTGCTTTTGCAGGCCTTTGCCCAGAATGTGCTCTCGAAGGCAGATGTAATTCAGGCTACTGGAGATGCCATCTGCATTTTCCGGGAGCTACAGTGTCTGACTCCCCGTGGTCGTTATGACATCCGGATCTACCCTACCTTTCTGCACCTGCATGGCAAGACCTTTGACTACAAGATCCCCTATACCACTGTACTACGCCTCTTTTTGTTGCCCCACAAGGACCAGCGCCAGATGTTTTTTGTGGTAAGCAGAAACCTCTGGAGTAAATGGTCCTGGTTTTTGCCTGTGTCTTCAGTAGATGTCTCAGTGGTGTTCAGAGTTCTGTATTGGTGAATAGCAAGTTCATCTGAAGTTTGGTCCTTAAGCTTGTCCTCTCTTCCTTATCAGATCAGCCTGGATCCCCCCATCAAGCAGGGCCAAACCCGTTACCACTTCCTGATCCTCCTCTTCTCTAAGGATGAGGACATTTCCTTGACGCTCAATATGAATGAGTAAGTGTTTGCCTGAACTCATTTCCTGCCACTGTCCAGGCAGGAGACAGGTATGCCATTAGAAAGCAATTGTGCTTAACCATCTCACCTTGCTCTGTAGGGAAGAGGTAGAGAAGCGCTTTGAGGGGCGACTCACCAAGAACATGTCAGGATCACTCTACGAGATGGTCAGCCGGGTCATGAAAGCACTGGTGAACCGCAAGATCACAGTCCCAGGCAACTTCCAAGGGTGAGAGTGCAAGCTTGGGATCCTGGCCTGCTGGGAGTGAGGCTGGGGAATGCCATATCTCCTGGGTAATCCCCTCCTGAGAAGG